GAAATATATTAATTCAATATTTATAACTTGGCAACTTTGAATTTTAAAAAAATTAAACCTGATTTCGTTTAGGTTATTAATCTACAAATTGGTGGACTTGTTTATAAATTACAACTTAAACAGATTATGTAGGTTAATAGTCTAATGATATTAGCGGTTATCTACTAAAAATTATCGTTATGTAGTTAGCAAAGTTCGTATTGATTTTTTTGAAGTCTAACTACTAATTAATTTAAAAAAATATTGGCGCAATCAATTGACTCGGGGAGTTCAATAAAACTGAACGTCGTTGCTAGACGACATAACAAGAAACAAAGAAAGGAAAAAAACGGCAAACTTGATTGAGAGTTGCCATCCTACAAGAAAAAAAATGTATAATCGATGCAAATTCCGACGAGTTTGCATACCTGAGACGTGTTTAACAAACGAACGACGATGTATGTATGTATACATATATATATATATATGTACAGATTTGTATAAAAAAAAATATGTGAATCGAGAAATTAATTTCGTATTCAAATTTCGCCGTTTCGTGGGCGTCCGAGATGATGAGGAAAGAACGATAACAAACGGAATTTATAGAAGAAGCCAAAAAAAAAAAAAAAAAGAGGAGTTGTGAACCGAAAATAAAAACGGTTTATGGAACGGGTCCATAAATTATAGTTTCCGAGTGGAAAATAATAATTAAATTAAAACCTGTGTAATAAAAAAAATTAATAATAATAAAATTATATACTTACTTGTTTGTTTGTCCGTTCACCAAATGTAGCAGCGGATTCTTGCGTTGCTGTGCGCGGTTCTTCTGCACGCGACGCACCTCGAGGGTTCCGACTTTGGAACCAGATCTTTGCCGCTGAGGGAGGCCGTGGAGAGCATCCCCGATGTGTGAGTATCTGGACAAAAGATTAGTTTTTAGATTAGTACGGATCGGGCTGAACGTTTAATTTTGCAGGACCGTGTCCAGCCGCAGGTTGCCGTTGAGGGATTCGGTGGAGAAGAGGTTGTCGCCGGATGAGGCGATCGACGAGGATTTGGACTTTGAGAGGTCGGCTATTAAACCGATCAAATTGCAGAGCTACGACAACAATTATGGGAACGAGGGTTTCTACCAGCAGAACAGTCCGCTGCAACGATTTCAGGCTGTGATCACTGGGTACCAGGGGATGCCGTACCGCATCGACGATGGCTTCCAGCAGGTCTTTCTGCAGCCGGGATACCCGTTGAGGGCGTCGCGACTGCAGACCGGCATTGCCGACATCAAACCGAAGAAGGTGGTGTGCCACGTGCGCAGCTCCGCTTTCTACACGAAGGAACCACTCAACTTCAACGCTGACAACCTGGACGCTTCCCTCTGTACTCACGTGATCTACTCGCAGGCCTCCCTGGATCCTCACTATTACACCGTCATCCCGGCCGATCGCGATCACGACGTGGTGCAGGGCGGATACCTATCCGCAACCGGACTCCGCAGGGAGAATGCAGACCTGAAGGTGCTCATCTCGATAGCAGGAAACCGCTTCACCAACTCGGCCATCCTCTCGCATCCCTGGCACCGCAGAAGCTTCATCGCCAATCTCATCAAATTCGTGGAAACGCACGGCTTCGACGGTGCGGATCTCAGCTGGGGCTCGATCGGCGACGAGGAGGACGACAAGCAGAACTTTGCCAACCTACTCGCCGAAATCGCGGAGGTCTTCAGACCTAAAAACCTTCTTATTTCGATCACCGCGCCCGCTTCTCGCTACCGCATCGACGAGGGATACTTACCCAGGTTGATCGCTCCGAGCATCGATTTCGTGAACGTGCAGACGTACGATTTCCATCTGGAGAAGGCGCCCATCGCTGATCACCATTCACCCCTGAAGTCGAGACCCGAAGATGTTGACCTGAATCTGTACAACAATGTGGTAAGACAATACTCAATGATCTGCAACATATGTAAATAACAATTTGTTGATTGTAGGATTACGCTGTGAAATACTGGCTGAAAGAGGGCTTACCTAGGGATAAGTTGGTGCTGGGTGTACCGTTCTTTGGGAGGTCGTTCACTTTGCTAAACTCCAACTCCAGCGAGGTGGGAGCGATGGTCAAGGGACCTGGTCGTGCCGGCTACTACACGGAAACGCTCGGATTCCTCGCCTACTTTGAGATCTGCGACATGATTTTGAATGAAGGTTGGAAGAGGGAAACGGACGCCGTCGGCTCACCTTACCTGGTCAACGGTGATCAATGGGTCGGCTACGATGACGTGGAGAGCATCGCCAGAAAGATGAAGTACGTGCGCGACATGGAGCTCGGAGGAGCGCACCTGCAGGCCACCGATATGGACGATTTCCGCGGTCTCTGCGGCGAAAAGTTTCCACTTCTCAACGCCGTCAAATCGGCTTTGGTTGATGATCTGCAAGATGCGACGGAGACGGCTCCAATGAAACCGTACGGCACCTGCCATTCGGACGGTCTGTACAGCGATAGAAGAGATTGCGCCGCGTACTTTGTCTGCAAAGCCGGATTTTCCTATCACCTCTCGTGCGGCGAAGGTTTGATGTTCGATGCGGCCACCGGCAATTGCGATTATCTGAACCCCAGCTACTGCAGACCTGGAGAAACCGTGCACATACCGAATGCGATAAAGGATTTGGACTTTATCCTGCGTAACGAGGGAGTGCGCGACGGTAGACCTAAAGTCGTTTGTTACCTGACAAACTGGGCTTTTTACCGAAAAGGCGAAGGTAAATTCGTGCCGGAACACTTGGACACGACGCTCTGCACGCACGCGGTCTACGCGTTCGCCAGTTTGGACCCGGAGACGCTCCTCGTGAAGGAGTTCGATCCGTGGGCGGATCTCGACAATAATCTCTACGACAGGGTCACCTCCATCAGGGATACGGAAGTGCTGCTGAGCTTGGGCGGATGGACGGATTCGTCGGGTGATAAATACTCGAGGCTGGTGAGCGACGGATCATCGAGAAGGAAGTTCGTAGTCGGTGCGGTCGGATTTCTGAGGAAACACAAGTTTAGAGGTCTGCACCTTGATTGGAATTACCCGGTTTGTTGGCAGAGCGATTGCAAGAAGGGTCCATCCATGGATAAAGCGAACTTCGCCAAGCTGGTGCAAGAGTTGAAACGGGAATTCGACAAGCAGAGTCCTCCTCTTATCCTGGCAGCAGCAATCTCCGGGTACAAAGAGGTCATCGATGTGGCCTACGATTTACCAGCGCTCGGTCGTTCCCTGGACTTCATGTCGGTGATGACGTACGATTACCACGGCAGCTGGGAACGAAAAACCGGTCACGTCAGTCCGCTCTTCGAGAAACCCGGAGATCGCTATCCACAATACAACACCAAATACACAATGGATTACCTGGTGAAAATGGGAGCTCCGAAGGAGAAGCTGATCGTCGGGATTCCGTTCTACGGGCAAACATTCACCTTGACGAAAAAGCAGGATGGAAATCCGGGCATTGGAACGCCGAGCTTAGGACCAGGTGAACCCGGCGAATACACCAAGCAACCAGGGATGTTGGCCTACCACGAAATCTGCAACAGAGTAAAAAATCAGAGATGGTCAACTGCCAGAGATAGCGGAAAAACGTCAGGACCTTACGCGTATTCCGGAGATCAGTGGGTCGGCTACGACGATCCCGAATCCGTCCTCGAGAAAGCCAAGTTCATCAGGGTGTCGGGATACGGTGGCGCCGTCGCCTGGACCGTCGATTTGGACGACTTCGGCAACCGCTGCTGTCGGGGCCCGTTCCCGCTCCTCAGGAGCATCAACAAAGGACTTGGACTGATCGCCGAAGGTGCCGGCACGGATAACTGCAAGAAACCGCTGGAACCGGTCACGCCGGCCCCGCCTGTCCTCACCACAGGCATCGACAGCGGCGCGTCCTCCTCATCCACCACCGAATCGTCATGGGACAAACCATCCAAGAAACCTACGAAGATTACGACGACGACGACCACCACCACTAGAACAACTTGGTGGTCGGACACGACCAAGAAACCGACCACTTCCAAACCGGTGACGTCCAAACCGACGCAGCAATGGACGCAATCCTCCTGGTGGCCAACATCTTCGACGAAGAAGCCGGTAACATCGACTGTTCCTCCGCCTGCTGTCGTAATGCCAGAAGTGGAACCGAGCCAGGAAGAGCCGAAGAAATGCGACGGTGGCGAGTACACTTCCGATCCAAGGAACTGCAACGCCTACTACAGATGCATCTTGGGAGAGATGCGGAAAGAGTATTGCGCCGGAGGTCTTCATTGGAACAACGAGAGGAAAATATGCGACTGGCCGAGCAGCGCCAACTGCAAACGAAAGAGTAAGTCGTCCTTCCATATAAATACAAGAAAACATATTTACCATGTAAATCTTCGTAGCTGAAACCACGCCAACCAAGAGGCCAAAACCGACGACAAAGAAACCGGTGACAAAGAGACCAACTACGACGACGATGAGGCCTACGTCGATGAGCGGCAGTCATCTGGAGACTTGCGTCACTGGCCAGTACTATCCGCACGAGCAATGCAACAGCTTCTACGTGTGCGTCAACGATCAGCTGGTGACGCAACGTTGCGCACCGGGTCTTCACTGGAACGCCGAGAGCAAGATGTGCGACTGGGGCTACAAAGTCAAATGCCTGAACAGAAAGAAGGTGGCACAGCTGAGCGATAAGTACACGAAAGTCTCGAAACTTTCGAGCCTACCGTACTCACCGTGCGAAGCTGGAAGTTTCTCCGCTTACTCCGGCGATTGCGGCCAATATCTGATCTGCCTTTGGGGCAAATACGAACCATTCACCTGCGCCCCCGGACTGCACTGGAACATCGTACGAACTAAACTATAAGAAGACAGAAGAACAATTAGATTAATGAATTTGTTGAATTTTGTAGGAGAAAAAGATTTGCGATTGGCCAGGGAACGCAAAATGCAACGACGACGATGGTGACATCGACGTGGATGATTACGAGAAGCCGTCAACAACCCGGAAACCGCCAATTACCACCAGGAAACCTAAACCATCTACGACAACTTTAGCTCCGGTCCCATCTGAACCTTTACCTGCAAAATCCGATTACTTCAAGATCGTCTGCTACTTCACCAACTGGGCCTGGTACAGGAAAGGTCTGGGCAAGTACGTTCCTGAGGACATCGACGCCGACCTCTGCACACACATCGTCTACGGTTTCGCCGTCTTGGACTACGAGAATCTCATCATCAAAGCGCACGACTCTTGGGCCGACTTTGACAACAGTAAATCTATATATAACAAATCTACAAAAGTTGACATTTCGATCATCGTAACATTGAATTGCAGAATTCTACGAACGCGTCGTCGCTTACCGCGAGAAGGGACTGAAGGTGACGATCGCCATCGGCGGTTGGAACGACTCCCAAGGAGACAAATACTCTCGCCTGGTGAACAGTCCATCAGCTCGCGCCCGCTTCATCAAGAACGTCATCGAATTCATCGAGAAGCACAACTTCGACGGTCTGGATTTGGACTGGGAGTACCCGAAATGCTGGCAGGTAAATCGTTAAATCATCCTGCAAATAGAAACAAACGTATTAAATAACAATTTGATTCAAGGTGGATTGCAAGAAAGGACCTGATTCGGATAAACGCGCTTTCGGCGAGTTCGTGAAGGAGCTGAGCGCCGCCTTCAAGCCGAAAGGATTACTGCTATCTGCTGCAGTGACTCCCAGTAAAACGGTGATCGATGCAGGATACGACGTACCAGCGGTTGCAGCGAGCCTCGATTGGGTGGCCGTCATGACCTACGACTTCCACGGACAATGGGACAAGCAGACCGGTCACGTGGCGCCTCTCTACGAACATCCCGACGATGAAGTCACCTTCTACAACTCCGTAAGATATTTAGTTATCAACCAATCTCACAGGTAAATCTAACTTACCGTTATTTCTTCAGAACTATTCCATCAACTACTGGATTTCGGAAGGAGTGCCGAGAAGGAAGATCGTCATGGGAATGCCGCTTTACGGTCAATCGTTCCGGCTGGAAAATGCGAATAATTACGGATTGAACGCGAAGGCTCCGGGACCTGGAGGTGCCGGTGAATTTACGAGGGCTGCCGGTTTCCTGGCGTACTACGAGATTTGCGATCGCGTGAAGAACGGAGGATGGAAGGTGGTGCAGGACGCGAAACGTCGCATGGGTCCGTACGCGCACAAGGGCAACGAATGGGTCTCGTACGATGACAAGGAGATGATCAGGATCAAGTCGGAGTACATCAGGCAGATGGATTTGGGCGGAGGTATGATCTGGGCACTCGATTTGGACGACTTCCGCGGAAGGTGCGGCGAGGGTAGACATCCGCTGCTGACGACCATCAGAAAGGTGTTGGCGAAAGACGGAACCGGACAGCAGGATGTGCCGCAGATCGAGAAGGACGAGACCGTGACGCCAATGAAGTTGGAGACGACGACATCGATGAAACTGGAGACGACGACCTCGAAGCTCGCTGTGGTGACGGCTCCGTCGAAGGGCACGCAATCTGATGACTACAAAGTGGTCTGTTACTTTACGAACTGGGCCTGGTATCGGCAAGGAAACGGAAAGTACTTACCATCGGACATCGATCCAGATCTCTGCACGCACATCGTTTACGGCTTCGCCGTGCTGAATCCGCAGACGTACATCATCAAGCCGCACGACACTTGGGCCGACTTTGACAACAAGTTCTACGAGAAGGTCACCGAATACAGGGCGAAGGGCATCAAGGTTCTGATCGCCATCGGCGGATGGAACGATTCGGCCGGTGATAAATACTCGAAGCTGGTGAACGATCGTGCGCTGAGAGCGAAATTCATCAGCCACGTCGTCGAGTTCATCGAGAAGCACAACTTTGACGGTCTCGACCTGGATTGGGAGTATCCGGTATGCTGGCAGGTGGATTGCAACAAGGGACCGGCAAGCGATAAGGAGGCATTCGCTCAATTCGCGCAAGAACTGAGCGACGTCTTCAAGCCCAAGAACCTGCTGCTCTCGGCCGCAGTTTCGCCCAGCAGGAATGTCGTGAATCACGGCTACGATGTGCCAGCCCTTTCCAAGTACCTGGACTGGATCGCGGTCATGTGCTACGATTACCACGGTCAATGGGACAAGATCACCGGACACGTAGCGCCCATGTACGCTCACCCCGAAGATGTCGACGTCACCTTCAACACGGTAAGATTATCTACTATTTCAATATTTTAAGGTAACATTAATACTTACATTCCGACTGCAGAACTTTACCATTCATTATTGGATCGAGAAAGGCGCTGATCGCAAGAAGCTGGTGTTAGGTATGCCTATGTACGGACAAAGCTTCTCGCTGGCGGAGACGTCGGATAACGGTTTGAATGCACCGACCTACGGAGGAGGAGAGGCTGGTGATCAGACGAGAGCGCGCGGATTCCTCGCCTACTACGAGATCTGTCAGAATATCAAGAACAAGGGATGGAATGTTATCAAAGACCCGAAGAATCGTATAGGACCGTACGCTTACCTGAAGGATCAGTGGGTCTCGTACGATGATCGCGAGATGATCGAACTGAAGTCACAGTACGTCAAGGACATGGGATTGGGAGGTGGCATGATCTGGGCCCTCGATCTGGACGATTTCCGTAACCTGTGCGGATGCGGAGAGTATCCACTGCTGAAGACGATCAATCACGTGCTGCGCGGCTATCCTGAGTCGGGATCGTGCGAATTGGCTCCGCCGCAGTCGACAAAACCGCCCAAGAAACCGACGAAGAAGCCATCAAAACCATCGACCACCACCACACAGCAGCCGCAACAGATACAGCAGCAGCACCCAGCGACTGTGACAGAGGAGCAGAAACCGTGCGGCGGTGCCGGCATCTTCCAGGCCCACGAATCCGAATGCAATGCCTATTACCTCTGCAACCACGAGCACCTCGAGCTGCAACGTTGTCCTCTGGGACTGTACTGGTCGGAGGATCACTGCGACTGGCCCGAGAACTCCAAGTGTCAGCGATCGCTGGAGCTCTCCTACAGATCATACCTGAAGGAGTACTCCGACGCGAATCCGATCTTCCGCGGTTTCCATCTCAACCTGTGATCACGAACTGAAACAAATTAAAGAAACATTAGATATTTTCCTCTTCTTCCTAAAGTTTCCGAGAGACCTCTCCGACTGCGAAGGAAACCTTTCGAAGGATTCGAAAATATTGCATCGATGATAATCACATTAGAAATTGCTGCAAATCGCAAAACAAGGTGGACAGACAACACAGCGTGTATCTTGGGAAATTACTATTAATACTGTATCAGTTATAAATATTATTATTATTAATTAATATTATATTTTTAAATTAAATAAATACGTATAAAAATATATCTAAATACATTTTTCAATACTTGGACCAATTCAAAAACTCTAAAAATTGCAACAACTTTAACAACCTTATTGAAATATGACAAACTTACTTGGCTTAATCCAGCGTTTTCCAAACTGTGTAATTCGTGTTCAAAGTTTAAAAAATGCTCGAAAAAACAGTGTTTTTACATTTCATTGATTTTCTCGAAAACTATAATAGATAGAATGAAGCCAATAGATGCATATGGAAGCTGAATGTTTGGGGAATCTAGAAAGTATCGATATATTACTGTGGTTTTAGCCGTTGGGTTGTAATTCGTGTTCAAAGTTTAAAAAATGCTAAAAAAAGTAGTGTTTTAACATTTCATTGATTTTCTCGAAAACTATAATAGATAGAAGGAA